AAGTGCTCGAAAGCACAACACTGCCTGCAGTTGGAAAGAAAAAATAAAATGAAAAAAATGAACCAAATTGGGAACACTGTGTGGCGAATGTGTAGAAAGCTGCCTCTCTGTCGGTTCTAGATGATATATGTATTTATGCCAACGAGCGGCACGTAATGCGCACACGAAGTAGCGCCGATAAAGTTGCATTTAGATTGAAATCTTAGAATTGTAGATTTAATTTAATTGTTGGCGTAAAATGTCTACAAACTCTATACATTTGTGTGTAATCGTATTTGTATGTTTTTATGTCGCATAGTTTATATAGCCGATAGAAAGGCGCTTTAGATGAATTTTTTGTTACAGTTTCCAACCTCTCCAATAAATTATGCATAGAAACATTATACTCTTTTGAAAAGTCGGTCTTAGTTTTCGGATCTTTCAGAAAAAGCATTTCTTCCCATATACCTATTATCGGCTCTATAAAATTTCTGTACAAAAAGATGAGTAAACTTCGTTAAGCGCACGCCTTAAAACATTGAAACCCTGAACGTTAGATGCTTTGAGTATTATACTCTACTTGATTGCCCTTGGTCTACAGGTTTTTTGGCGCGACTGTTAACACCGCGCGCCTAAATGCATGCTATGTGCACATGTACTTCTCAACTGCAATGCAATAAAGCTTTCTGCAGTTAATCTTCAATCTAGTCTGATGCATCTTTCGGACATTTTGCGGACTCTGCATGACCTACAATCATGCAGAGTTGGTAACAAATGGTTACCATTGGCCACTACTTTTTGGTTCAAGAAATATTTTTTTATAAGTACAACCAACCAGGTCTTCGCTCTCAATATTCTAATAGAAATAGATACTCCAAATAGAACTAATATTAAGCATTCCATTAAGCATTAATTTGCGTAACTTCGCAATTGATTTCGACTGAAACCAGCAAACGTTTTTAGAGCCAAATAAGAAGACGAAGAGCAAGATTTGATGTTGCAAGCCAAATGGAGGATAGTTGACGAGGAAATACGTTTTTGATGTGTAAACATCCTAGCTCCCCGCGTGGTTAAAATTTGCGTTAACCCAGCAGAAAATTTGTAACTGCCTCTTGTGTAACTGAGCAGAAAATCTGCAATTGCTCCTTGGGAGTACAAATGAATATTCCTGAATATTTCGGGACTATTTCAGAATCTTTTAGAGTCTAGGTTTGAGCGATTTAAGCCTCGTTCAAACTTATTTTTTTTTGTGCATTTTGGTACTAGTTCGGGATCATTTAAATGAGGGACCATTTCGGGACTTTTTCAAGATTTATTCAAGATCATTTCCGGATAAGTTCACTACTTTTTTGACCATTTCGGGACCTGTTGAAGAGTAGTTCGAGACTATTTCACAACCATTTAGCACCTAGTTCTGGACGATTGGAGACTAGTTCAGGACTATTTCGGGTTCATTTTGGGATTTGCTCAGGACTATTTCAGAACCACTTCGGGATATTTCGCGATTGTTTTGGGAATGGTTTGGGATGATTTTGTTAATATTAAGAGCCACTTCCGGGATCGTTTCAAGTCTGGTTCGAAATCTATTCGTGACCATTTCAGGGCTCTATGTAATAGCGAAACGAGTCACAATATGATCCTGAAGAACGAAAAATGACACTGAAGATGGCTCAACGCCGAAACCGGTTAGTCTCCAAACCAAATTTGACAAGGGATGACGGGAAATCGTTCCACAATACATCATACTCCTACCCTGTCGCAAACACAAACAACCAAAACGAAGTCATCTATAATTATTATTCAAGGACTTGTATTATAAAAGTCCTTTCATAATAATTATCAGAGAGATAAATATTTTTAAGTCTTCAAAGAGTTTTATTTAAAGTTTTATGGCCTTATTCATAAAAAATAAAGAAGCTTCAAAAACGTTTCGAAACTGAAAAATGTATGAAAACGTCACTTTATAAAGCTCTTTAAACCTACTTTATTTTTTATGAATAAGGCCATTATATTATAAAAGTTTTTTCATAATAATTATCATTGAGATAAATATTTTTAAGTCTTCAAATACTTGTATTTTAAGACTTATATTATAAAAGTCTTTTCATAATAATTTTGAGCGCGCCTTAAAAAACGGTACTTGTTCAGGAGCGTTTCAGGATTAGTTGGGGACCAGTTCGGGGCTAGTTGGGGACAGTTCGGGACTAATTGGGGAGTAGTTGATGACTTTTTTAAAACTCGACCATGAAGTAATTATTATTCTGGGTCCCTGTAAGAATGTATTTATGTTGCATACGCAATACATATTGCTGCGCAACCGTATGTATGTACATATGTACGCATTCCAAGTGCTCTTTCGAAAAAGTATTTCCTTAAATCTCAAAAAGATTATTTTTCATACAATCCACATTTTTAGAAACTTTTCCAAATGCAATGTCGTTTGAAGAGAAAAGAATTGATTGAGAGAAAGCAAAATTATTGTTTATGTACTTAGCTTAGAAAATTTTTTTTTTAATGCATAACCCAATTGAGCATTACAGAAACTATAAATGAATAGCAGTTTTCACTTAAAAATAACTAAATTCTTGAATTACTTTTGCACCCAGACTTTGAAATTTAAATCACCATTTTACAAGGCAATGACAGAAAAAATCTAAAAAATGGTGTCCCTGGCATCAAATCTGCTCTTGTCGCTACTTTCCTGAGCATTGCCGCAACTCCGCTAAACATGTTGGAGCCTTTCTTCGCCAACTCAAACTCAATATCTACTTACGGTTTGTGCTTATTCCGGCTCGTTTGCTTACACTCTGGCCTTTCCGATTTGTTGTTGCCACTGTTTTTGGGTTTTGGTGCTGTACGTAATTTTTATGTTTTGTTTTAGCATGCCTTCGCATATGCATCACAATCGCATTTATGCACCCGAAATGGGTTGCCACTCATGACCATATTCGGTGTGGCATATCTTTGAATACAAATAACATTTGCAATGCAGGCGAAAAATGTAAACAAAAAAAAAGCGTATAAAAATAATAAAAACAATGTGAAAAAAAGAATATTTGCCATTACAATGCACGCGCGCTGAGTGGCATTAACGATTAGCAACGCAACAGCAGCAGCAACAAAAATGCCTTTGAATTCACCGTTGCGCGGTTGAAGGCGCAAATGCAAAGTAGCAACAATAACGATTTGCTGTATAATCGCTGGAAAATAAGACAGCGAGAAAAAGAGCAGGAAATAATATTAAGCAAATAAAAGTATAGGAAAAATTTTAATAAAATTTTAGAAGTAAAAAAGGTGCTATTTGAGGAGAAGAAGAGCAAAAAAATATTAGGAGGATAAGGCTGCCACATACGCATGACAAAGTTAATAGCACAATTCTGGCAACGGTCTTTTAACTCACCAAAGCTTTTCGAAAGAAATGGATCTTTCTATTTGCAACTACTTATCTTGAGAGCTGTTTTCTGTCTTTCGAAAACTGATTGGAAAATCTACTAAGAATCAAATCAAATTAAAAAAATTAAATTAAGTTATTTTTATTTATAAAACAATTAAAATTAAAATTAAAACAAAACTATTTAAAAAACAACTTAATAAAAAAACCTGATAAACTAAGTATTTAAAATTAAATCACATCAAAAACGCATGTTTTTAAAATGATAGAATCTGAAAATTAAAATTTTTTAATTAAAACCATTAAATTAACCAAAGAAAAATATTTATGCAATAAAGTTTGCAAAGTTAACCAAAATATGTTCGTTCAAAACCAAAAAAATTTAAAAATTTAACAATTAAATTAAAAAAGGAAAAAAACATAAATTAACAAAAATAAGTTCCTGAAGCTTTAATGAAATCAAAAGAATTTATTTTTCTTTTAAAAAAATTTTAATTGAGAGAAAGGTAATATGTTTTGTTATTTATGGCCTTATAACAATTATATTCAACAATTTTATTGAGCTTGCGGCCGTTTTTAATGAAAAAATTGTGTGGAAAACAACAACAATTTACAAAAAGGTTTAATCCTCTAACTTTGTGTAAATTTTCCTATAGTTTCCCTCACAATTGTTTCATTAATAACGGCCTCAACCTCAATAAAATTGTTGAATAAAAGATAATTAAATTTAAAAAAAACTTAATAAAACATAGAAAAAAGAGAATATGTTCCTAGAAATCAAATTAAATGATAAAAGTATTTTTTTTATAATATAATCTAAAATTAAGTCCAATTGAAAAAAAGCATAATTTTAAAACCATAAAATCTAAAAATTTAAAAAAAAATTAAAAAAAAAAAAATATTTAAAGCCGCAGACCAGTGCTTTGCTCACTCGACCAATGCGACTGCTGGATCAGTGCAAGTAAAATTTACAAAGGCTTACTGTCAAAAGAGCCGTTCACCATGAAAGTTGGAAAGGGAGCTTCTTTTTGTAAGGATTTCGTGCCACAATAAACAAAATTTTTTAAGCTGTCTTCCCTCCCCTATTTCAATTGTCTTACAAAACACTGTCAACTATTTTAGCCAGAATTGCCCTGTAATTATAAAAAAAAAAATATTGCTGATGCCTCAAAAGTGATTGCCTTTCGGCCTGAGTCTTTGCATATCTTGTTTTTCCTTGCGAATTAATTACAAATTTAGCACCTAAAAGTATTTTGAGAATAATAAGAACGTTTTTTTTTTCTTATTCTTCATGCGACTTTTTCGGAAAATCTGTACTACAGAGCTATCTAATGGATTTATTTTTCGCTAGTGAATTTCTCAACATATGCGTTCGAAATATCTCGACTCATGCTTCAAGTAGCTTATTATAATAAAGTATGTTTCCGTGCCACGTATCCAAGGAAAATACTGTCCAAATTTTGTTGGAATCCGTTTATTAGTTTTAGAGCCAAGTTTTAACAAGAAAAACATTTTTCTGTATACAGATTATAATTTTATTCTTTTATTTATTTTACTTTTCTTATTTCGGTTGTATTTTCTTTTAGCTAATTGTTTACTTAGATTTTTATTTTACCTTTTTTCCTTTCAGCGGCACAATGTTAACGCCATTCACCATAAGACACAGTTCAGCAACAAGTAAAATTTGTTCACTGTTGTTGTTGCTGTTAGTAATTTGTCAACATGTCGCTGGCATTTTGGGCAAATCGCAAATGTGCGAAGTCGAAACGGGACAAACAAATATTATATTGGACATTGAGGAGAGTCGTGGCGATTGTAAGTACAAAAATATTTATATCATAAAATTACAGCTCATTCTTAATAGAACATTAAAAAACCGAAGCCCCCAAAGTAAAATAAAAAAACGATTTTAGGAAAATTTAGTTGATTTTTTTAGAATTGAAACTCAATCCTATCCTACTAAGGGCGCGTTCACACAGAAAGTCGAGCGGCGCTGAGCGAAGCAAGGCGAGACAAAGCGAAGCTGCTGATGTTCACACTGAATGAAGGAAAGTGGAGCTTTTCTAATGGACTAGGCTGCAAAGCTACCACAAAACTCGCCGCCAATAAAAAGCGCCAAAAATATTTGCTCAATTTTATCCAACAAATTTTTCACACTGATATTTTATGGCCTAAATTGAAAAATAGACTAATTTTTTTTAAGTTGCCACCTGTTAAAAAATGTCAATTAAATTAAAAAGCACGCTCACGCGAAAACGACTGAATGGATTTGCATTTGCGGAAATTTTGCACACAGATAGTTCATGGCAAAGATTGAAAATTTGTTAAGAGTTGCCACTTGTTAAAAGATTTTATTAAATTAATAAAATCAATCAAATATTGACAAGTTGTCAATCGATAAAAAGTTTAAGCGAGCTTAATTTTGAAGACATTTTTGAAGAGGGTTGCCACCTGTTTGAAAAATGGAATTTCGCCCATAGATGGTTTATGACCTGAATTGAAAAACTGGCTACCTTCTTAACCACTTTCCCGGTAGGGAACAAATTTGGCACACTTAAAATAATTTCGATAAATCAAGAGCGTGTGGCCTCTGTGTAAAATGATTTTTTTCATTTTCACCTCCTATTTTACATTTTTAAACAAATTATTTTTCAAGTAAATTTTTATTTTTATCAGTTGTCTACCTTTCATAATGCATCTTATGAGAGCTCTTTATTGAAATTTTTTTTAAGTGTTAATTTTTCTTATAGAAATAGTAAATGCTTAGCTCATTTATCAAACTTTTTTTTTTTTTCGCAAGCACACTAAGAACCAATTCCTGAGAATGCAAAAGTTGCATAAGGAAGCATTACCCTATTTGGCGCTGCAGATAATACACGTAACATGTTATTCAAATGCATACATATGTGTATGTAGATCTTAATATAGATATAAGCATAGTCATCAACTTGTGTTCGTTCATTTCCAGCGATTTGCTAAATTAATTAAATTTACTAGCCAACTCCTGTAGTGATATGATTAAATGACTACCATTTTTCTTCATCACTTTGCACCGGTTTGCTGCTTACACGCTTACAAATATTTATTTTCAAAAATCGTTTACTTGCATAAAGCAAACGTTCTACCATTTTTTTATTAATTTGATTTTTCTATTTATTATTTTTCTCTTGATGCGCTAGCTAGATGTTGCAAATAGCGCAACATATTTTTTAGGGCTAACAAGCATCATTAATCAAATATGTAGCAAACTGCATATGCAGGCAGATATAATTTTAACAAAAAAAAAACAACGGCAAGAGCAACAAGAAAAGCAACTGCAGCAATATTGGCATTCATGATTCACTAAGCAAAGTTGATTGCAAGCCAGCAACGCCAAGTTGTGGTCAAACATCACTTGTCGTAATGGTAATAGTAATAATGAAACGTATAATAATAAAAGCCATACAATTTTCTTTTATGTATGTACTACAAAAGGACTACTTGGAGGATAGAAAAGGAAAGGTGAAGTATACGCCCTGACAGTCGGGTGGCCGTGGGGGGTTGTAAGGCGATGCAGCGGCGTCCACCGAGCTACTCAAAAATTATCGCACAAAATCAACGCATCCATTTCAGCCGCAGCAAATAAACTTATCGCATATTTGTAATTTGCAACTTGCAACAATTGCAACAAAAACAAGTGGCTACTGCTGTACATCTTACGAGTTGGTTGTGAATGAGTTTCGTGGCTGTAGTTTACCGGCCTTCTGGCCACTATACCTATTAGCGTGCAATAAATGAATCAGTTTCATAGCAATTTCAACAAGTCTGCAACAGGCGGCGAGCAGCAACAACAGCAACAACAACACGTAGCGACATCAGCAAATGCAGTTACAGCAGCGCAGAAAAAGAAAACTTAATTACAAATAAAAAAGCGCAAAGCGAAAAATATTACAACATAAATGTTTATATGCATGCGGTGATGATGATGATGATGCGTTGCAAGTTGCAAGTTGCAAGTTGAAATGTAAACGAGTGAGCGCCACCGATAAGCAAACGAATGCGAAGGGATCGCGTACTGGCAACAGAATTGCATTCGCTGCTGTCAAGGGGCGCAGTGCGCAGGGTGCGGTGTGCGGTGTGCGGTGTGCGGAGTGCATTAAGTTGCACGTGACGCCATTTAAAGGCGTCTACCAATTCGCCACAAATGCGTTTGCAAACCCTCCAGCATACTTACATACATATGTATGTATGTAAAATACAAGTACACTACACTTACATACATACATATATGCATGTGTGTAGTTATCAAGCGCGGCGCATTGCTTCTTCATACCTTTATGTGATACACACTTGGATTGCTTGTTGTCTGCATATCTTGTTGCAAGTTGCCAAGTGTTGTATGTTGTAGATTACGTGCGTGCCACTGCGAGCACTATTATTAAGGTGTTCTAGCTGAGTTGTTGTTTTTGCTTGTTTCACTATTGCGATTGTGTTGCGATAGCAAAAGGAGATCAATTTACTTTAATGCGGCTGCCACTACTATACTGTTGCACTTACATACATATAAGTAAGAGTGGAACAACAAAAAAATAAATAAAAATCAAAAGTAATAACAAAAATCTAGTCAAAGTATTATTTTCATTTTTTTCCTTCATTACCTCTGCACTTCATTGCTCAACATATGCGCATGCATACAATGTGGCTCGTCTTTCTCGCTCCATTATTATGGCACTGCATATCCTGCAGCTATTTGGGACTAAATTCTTTGATATTGTATGCATCGTTCTGCTGCACAGTGTTCCATGAAAAGGAATTGCGCATAAATGTGGTTTACATATTGGTAAAATTTATAAAAAAAAAAAATTATTGCATAATAAAAAATAAAAGATACCAGCTAGCGACAAATTACCTCTTCTCGAAGCTAGAAAAGCCGAATAATTTTAGGCGCTATATGCTCACCAATTTTTTGTGCAACCTTACGACATATTTTTCATCCTGCAACCTAGAGAAATTTTAGTATGAAGCTCATATCTGTGTTGTTTCGCCTTCTGTTGTTAAATAATCCTTCAAGAATGTGCTGTACAGTTTCGATATCCGCCCAGCAATATCTGCATCCTGGCTTCAAAGGAATTCCCAATTTAGTCATAGCAAACTCTCATTTCATGCTCTATTTAGTGTTTGAAATGTTGTGTGCTCATCAAGCATTTTTTTTCGCATAAAAAAAGTAACACCCAAACCAAGAAGAGACTTTTGTTCAGGGTACGCAAAAAAGGTCCTCACGCCATAAAATATCAATACTGGGATATCATAAAATGAAAATCCGTGACGTGTCTGGGTGTGTAGGCATCTGAGTTTCATTCCGTCCCGTAACCTTTAACAAAACGAGAACCTATCATAATACACCAGACACGAAGAAATAGTTGAAGCAATGTTCTGCTCCAGTTGAGCGTGCACCAAACTAGACCAAGGGGGTCAATGTGCCAACAGGGCCAAGACGAGAGTGTCATTCACGTCGGCTACCTTTTAAAGAGTAAAACGATCGCCGGCAAAGAATCTTCTAAGCTGTTGGACAAATTCGGCTTTGATTTTGGCCCTCCCCTCTGACTATTTTAATGTTCCCGAAGTTCCAATAAAAAAAAGCTCTTTTAAAGCACATATGTACGTAAAACCTGTTATTTGGAAGTGATAAAGAAATTATAAGGGCGGTGAACAAAATTTATTGAGCTGAGGGAGAGGTTATTAAGAAAAAATATGCCTTTTTACCGAAAAAAAAATTATTTTTATGCAAAACCTACTGCCTTAAAAAGCTTCTCTAATCTCATCGCATGTACTCTTTTATTGTCGAGATTCTTACCGATATCTTCCGATAAATTAATCAAAATATTTATCCAAAACTTTACAAGTGTAATTCATGATCTATATCCATATTACTATAAAAATAATTATCGATACTTTTCAGGGTTCGTTATCGATAAATATCGCGATGTTGTTATACTATTTTTGCTTTATTACACGTAGAAGAAGTTTACTTCTGATAACTTCGTCAAAAATATCACTCACTGATTTACTAATCAAGCGCCTTAGCTGCAAAAAAAGTCGTGGCTAGGTTAAATATTTTACCAATTTAGTAACCTTCAGTAAATTCTAGAGCACCTTTCATCGCCTAAGCCGGGCTTCCTAATATTTATGAATATGTAGTTTTTTTTACAATATAAAGCCTTTTCAAGGAAAACCTATTTTAGTCAATGTTGAAGAGCAATAAGGCCAATTTTCTATGTATCTATAAATAATTTTTTTTTATAAAAGAAACAAATATATACACCGATCTACTCTGCAGTTTTATTAAAATTTTCTGCAACAGCTAACCACAGTGCAACACTTCAGCTTAGTCCTTTATCCGCTTTTTGTCTTTTTCCACACACTACCTTTTGTGGTTTGTCGGTTTTTATTAACAAAGAGAAATCGTTTTTAAACAATACTTTGATTGTTACGCCATTGTTGAGTGCCACGAGTAGATATCTAGCATTGGAAACGACAACAACAGAAAAGACATACAGCAAATACAAATTCATAGCAGACAGCAAGCAGCCTTCTGCCAGCAATCGCATCAGCGTTGAGATCTTCAAATTTATTGCATGTATTAAGAGCGAAATACACCACACAAGCGGCTTGTCAAACATTCTTCAAACCTACTTTTCCCATTTCGCCATACACCATGCAAACATGACTCGTTCAAGCAAAGAATTTTAGTTTTCTTCCAGTTCGCAATGCTAAATATTATGGTTTTCTTTCATTTTCCTCTCTTACGTCCTTACTCGGTGAAAATTTCGTTGCGA